TTAAACCTAAAAGCACGATTTATTATCGCTCTTGTAGAATATGCAGTTATGCCTGCAATCACAGCAGATATTACTTGCACGAATGCACGCACGTACAAACTGGGCATGAAATCATGAAGGTCAGTTTTGCTGCAACAAGTTCATCACGACAGTTACGTTGCTTTCTGTTCAAGGCATTGTGCTTTTTGTCCTTCTCTTTCAATATTTTCACTTGAAACTTCAAAAATTTCAAATTTTAACAATATTTATTTTATAGGCTAAGCATGCCATTATATAATTTATATAAAATTTATATTTATTTATATTTATAATTATATATTATAAAGGGGATAAAAGTTTGCTCGATTGGATTTTTTCAAAATTTTTCAACCATCATAAGAAAAAAATACGTGGTTTCGTTTGTTTGTTTGTTGAGGCTCACAGCTAAAAAACCCATCGACTCTCGAAATAAGATGATGCTCACGTGCTTAAAATACGATTAGAAATGCAATGATGCTGCCATCAATCTCGTTAGCATGAAGCCGCCAGATTACGCAGCGATCTCTGATTGATTTCATAAACGGATCTACAAGATGAATGACTCTCTCTCTCCGTGTTTTAAAGACATTGTGTGCCATTGTTCTGTACATTTATAGTAAATCATTTGTGCATGTTTGTACAAATGAATGTATGCATGCATGAAACTTGATTTAAAAAAAATAATCATTCCAATCTCAAACATGTTCATACAAATATAAAAAGTTTAATTTTTTGAAAACTTTATAGATTGGATGTAAAATAAGTTTTCGTTGGTTTGTGTGACGGATGGGAGCGAACGATGCAGTGCCTGCCTCAACGTACAACATGCGCGCATCATTTCTTGGATTCTTCGTACCAGGAGATTTTAAATAATAATCGTTTCATGTCGCTATGTTCAAACGCCAGTGAACATTTTTGTTATTTTATAATATATCAATAGAATCTTAAAATTGGATGTCTTGGCTTGACGAGAATGTTTGTTTTTCAACTCACACTCGCCATCATAATCATTAGGCCACAGTGACAGCAATGGTAGTCATTGTGACAACAGGTGCATGATTTTATCTCCAAATTTTTAGATTAATATTTTTAGATGTTTTATTTTTTAAATTAGGCAACCAAACATTATGAAAATTTATTCACAACTAGAGAATTATTAATCGTAAAGTTACATTAAAGAAACACAATAGCCCTCCTATAATGAAAACTCAATCTGGTCATCATCATTGCCACCATTAGGAAGATGTATTTAATTTTCTAATCACTGAGGCTGAACAACAAGCCACGCTGACAATAGAAACATATTTTATAACTTAAACAGAAACATAATTTATCACTTAGATGTCTTGTATGAAATTAAAGATGACAAATCAACCAAACATCAAACATTTGGTGATCATTAAAAGACATATTGTAGTCAATAAGCTTTAATAAAATTGAACCTTAAATAACTACGAAATATTAGTGATAATTTTAGTAATAATTAAAACACAAGGAGTGTTCAATTTCATTTTTTTTATCAATTACAACATCTTGTATGAATAATAATTCGGATTTTTTTTCATTGTTTTATGCTCTGTAGGTCGCAATTTTATTTTACCTACCCAAACTATTTCAAATTCGGTACATCAATTGATTACATTTTTAATTATTGCATTCGAAAAAACAAATACAGCGAACTAATTTCATCATTTTCCTGCTATCTCCAATTAACTTCCACTACCTCCAGCCACTTACAAGTTTCTACAGTTAATAGTTATTTTTTATTAATTATTTAGTAATATCTATTAATTTTACTAATTATCTCCATCGTCACTCAATCAACTTATCAGTATAAGACATTCATCGCAAGACACCTTAAATATATTTATTAACACTAAATAAATTTTTGTCATTTATTCAATTTTGTCTATTCTTTTTCTTGAACGATCACCTAACTTATTTACTAAATCATTAACTGGTCTATTAATTAATCATTCTATTAATTCATTTTTTCAAATCATTGTATTATTTGCGATGTCTACCATGCTTAACCATTTTTACTCCTTAAACATTCTCTTCACGTATCGATCACATAGTTTACTTACTAAGTCATTCACTAGTCAGATAATTATTTTGTTTATCCGTTTTTTAAATCATTATTTCATTTATTTATCATTTACCATCAACTACTTCTAATTATTTTGAACTACCTCTCGCTACTTTCAGCTAGTCTCAACTACCGTCAGCCATATCTTCACCTAATACCAACTACCTAAACCTACCTCCGGCTAACTTCAGCTATCTCTAGCTATTTTCAATTACCTTTATTTACTCCACCTAATTTTAACTACATTTTACTAACTCCAGTTATTCTCAGTTATCTTCAAAGGTCTCCAGCTATCTTCAACTGTCTTCATATATCCTTAAACACATTCAACTATCTCCAATTATCTTCAACTATCACGGAAACCTTTTTCATTCGCCTGCATCCCTTCGCCACGCTCAACTTCAACACGCTCCACATGTTGCTCTACAGCGAAATTGATTCCATCTCCCACCGTGTTCTCCATCAACATCCTTCACTTTCCATCAAACAAAGCTCATTCCAAGCACGACAACAGCAGCAAACACCTACTTCAACCTTTGGCTCTTCACACACGCACATTCAAACATCTTTGGAAAAACATTGTAAAACCAAATATTAATTTATTTTTAGCTTTTTAAATTAGGTTACGAAATAACCGAAGGTAAAATAACTTTTATAAAAAAATGCTCTGATGAATATTTCACAGCCACGTGCTTCTTCAGCTGAATCGATGATAGCTTCGATTAGTTTTATTTAGTTCTTAACTTTATTTTACGGTTTTCAAACAATTTATTAATTTTATTTCTTTATTTGCTGCATCCGCAAATCCTCAAAAGTAACAAAAGCATCGTTTTCCATTTTGCTAAACAATATTTCCGCAAATATTCTATAAGGATTTTACTTTTTAAAACATTTACTAACAATTTATTGATAGTTTATTTAATTTTGCAATTAAGTTTTCCAGATTTTAACTTAATTATTTTTTTTCTAAATTATATTCTTAAAAAGTATGTTTTAGCTTTTTTTGCAGATGTCATGGCTGGAACTTTTGAAAAAAACATGAAAACAGTAGCAGTCAGTAGTTACCAGGCTGCAAACATTCGGCCAAATAAAGCAAAATTCAACATCATCAAAATCTTGCATGGCAAAACATGGCATGACAGTTGAAATAAATGCTTTATTAACTTTATTATTAGTAACATGACATGCATGGTGTAGTTTTATTATAGTATATAAGAATACAACGGAGCTAAACACTGATCTGTAACATACAAACATACAAATAACATACAAGTATCATTCAACATACAAAGAATATACAAGTAAGATACAAGTTACATCTAAGTTGCATTGTTCAAAAAAGTACCAACAGTACAAGCATGAAACATTTTTGACCTGTACAAATCTAAGTAGCAGGAAAATTAGAATGACATGACAAGCAATGTATTGTGTGTGTGTAGCATGTTGTGGAATAACTTAACGGCATTTTGATTAAAATAATAATATCAAAAACTCGTGTATACTGAGACGTTAAAAAGACATGGTTCCGTGACGTCATATAAAGACATCTTCATGAACAATTTTTTACATTTAATAAATATATTAATGAATGAATGAATGAGTGAGTGATTGAATGAATGAATGAGTGAGTGAGTGAATGAATGAATGAATGAATTAATGAATGTATTAATGAATGAACGTATGAATGAATGAACGTATGAATGAATGGATAAATAATGACTTAGATGTGTGTTTTTCTAAGATACCTGTAACCTGGTGACGTAAAGAATCAGAAATAGGAAAATTATGTTATGTGAAGCAGTATACGGTGAGTAACAAAAAGTAAAATAACTATTTCGAAGGAGTGCAGATGTTTCAAATTATCTCGACCGTATATAATTAATTACAACGTTGGTTATTATTTTCGCATTTTTAGTTTCACGAGTGAGTCAGTTGAATGAACACTTACAAGGCTTTATTATTTTAATTTTTTATTATTATTTTCCAGGCACCATTGTGAAATTTTTATTTTCTGAGAACAGATTTGCAAAGCTTTAATGTATTTTGCTAATAACATGGTATAAAATAACGAGCCGTAACGAGAAAATAACCTGACACACATGACCTGACATGTCTAACTTTCTATGAAATGACTTGCTGCGATACAAGATGAAACGGTCTAAAATAGGTTGCGAGACGATTGAGAGACATGTTGTGGCTGCGTGTGCGTGTCCTCGTTAAGAAATTTCATTCTGCCTGATCATGCAATCCATTCTTCCCGCATTAAACGCTCAGTGAGGTGGTTTTCTTATTGATTTTATCAAATTTCGTTCTTCTGATTTCTTCTTCTTCTTTTCAATTGTAGATGTATGTAAAAAATTGCGTCCAGGTCGCTTGTAATAAATGAGCTCCTGTATCATTTAGAAAATAATTGGAATTTAGTTGAGAATGAAACGTTTATTAATAATATATCTGTGTTTTATATTCACGAGGATATTGTAAATGCAATTCAGTTGATAAAAAGTGAATTAAATAATTTTAAAATTGAAAAAAGTGAAAAATTGCAGTCGCGCGGGAATATGAAATGTATGGAATGTATATCGTTAATTAAACAGTTGAAAGAAAACAAATGTTGGGACACATGTCCATTATTTGTTAGTTATAATTTAAATAAAGTTCCAAAGTCTGAAAATTTGTTAACATTGAACTTTGAAACTATCAAACTAGAATTAAAACATATATTGCACAAATAACAGGTGCAATTTAACAAAGTTATTGAAACTGTTGAAAGTAATAAAGCTGATATCATTTCATTAAAAAACGTTATTAAAACTGCTGATATTAATAAACCAGCACTTGGTTTGAACCTACCAATAAATTAAATTCTAATGTTGTAAGTGACTACAGTACTGAAATGACAAACAAGGAGGGACAAAAAAAAATGTCAGTAGTTCTCTGTGGTCAGACATAGCAAAGTCAGAAGACAACGGTACCCCGTTCTCAACTGTAAACGGAAAAAAAATCACGTCAAAATAACAACAATTGAACAAAACAACCCAGGAGAAACCAGCAACAACCCAACAAACAAACTGGAAAAAAGACAACTATGAAAATAATTCGTAAAAAAGTTTCAAATGATTGCCAACTGAAGGCAGATAAAAATCTAATGAAAAAATCTGTGTTCTTTTTAAGCAACCGTCGCAAGTTCCCCAGAAATGATGTGGTGGCCTTACCTAACGACAATGGTATCCATGTTGTTTCTTGTTATTCCCGTACTCAACAATTCCAATAAATGGCACCAGCTTCTACAGCCGACGTCAATAACAATAATAATAGTCAAACTGAAAATAAAAAAACAGATGAAGAAGAATCCAGTACGTTTAGAGTTTGCCTCGATAGCTCTGATTCTAAGAAAATGAAAGCCTCTGATATAATGCCCGAGCACATTATAGTACGCGAGTGGCAATTCAATAAGAAACCAGAAACAATTGTCGATCAAACAAAAAAAAATGGATAAACAACATGTTGATAATGATGATGACAGCAGTGATGATGAAGAAAAAGACAATTTAAACCCCAAGCAAACTACATGTAAAAGGTATGACAATTTTAAGTCGTTGAATGATGATTATAAATTAATAAATAAAGATTTTGATAGCAGTATGTTTTTCAACTTAATGCATTTGAACATAAGAAGTTTGGTCAACAAAACCGATGAATTAGAAAGCTATTTGTCAAACAGTCACATCAAATTCAATGTAGTGCGATAACAGAAAGCTGGTTAAACGAACGTACTGAAAGTTTGGTTGGCATGGATGAATATAGATATGTAGGCAAAAATCGTCATGACAAACACGGTGGAGGGGTTGGTTTCTATGTCTGTAATGATTTTACCTTTCGAATAAGAGATGATTTAAATACCATTGGCTTGCCAAAGTTTGAAATGTTTGCAATAGAGATCATTAACAATTTTAAATCTAAAAATTCAATTGTGATGGTTAGTTATCGACCTCCAATATACGAAATTAAACAATATTTTAAAGAATTAGAACAAGTTTTACAAATAACTAGTAATGATAATAAATTTGTTTATCTTTTGGGAGATCTAAATATTGACTTATCGCCAGAAGTTAGCAGTATAAATAAAATTCAAATGAACCAACTTGTGACATGTTACAACCTCAAATCCATGATCACAGTTCCTACAAGAATCAGTAATACAAAAAAAATCCACTATAGACATTTTGTTTACAAATCATCCAGAAAATATTATACAATGTGGTACCATTTCATGCGACCTATCAGACCACATCCCACTTTTTGCTTCCACTAATCAAAAAATAAATAATAAGACAGTTGCTGACGTTACATTTTCAAAATATTCTTATTCAACACACAGATTAAATAATTTAAATGAAGGTTTATGTAATGCCGATTGGACAAGTGTGCTGAGCTGCGATGATGTAGATGTGGCCTTCTAAAATTTCATCGACATCTTTTGGTTACATTATAAATTTTATTGTTCAGTGACCTCTAAAAGACAGGCTCAGAAAATGACAAAAAACAAACCGTGGATAACTAAAGAATTTTAAAAAATGTTAAAAAGGAAGAAAATGTTATATAAAAAATATCTAATGCACACATCGTCAGACAACTTTACAGCACTCAAATCATGCAGCAAATTATGCAACAAGATCAAGTGCCAGTTGAAAAGACAATATTATTTTAATCTTCTACAACAAAGCAATGGCGACAGCAAGAAAACATGGTCAATCATCAATTCTTTAACGAAACGAAATAACAAAAAAACATCAATAATTCAATTAACTTTAAATGATGATCCAATTGATAATCCTGAAACTATCCTCAATAATTATTTCATCAATCTGGCCTCAAATATGCAGCAATCATTTGTAGAAGACACAAGATGGAAAAATTATCTTCAAAATGGTCAGTAAATTCATTTTTTTGTAACCGTGTTTCATCATCTGAAATCATTTCAACCACAAAACTTTTCAAACCCAAAACGACTAGTGGTTACGATGGAATATCAACAAAAATAGTAATATCAACAATTAAATCAACAGCAACAATTTTTGAATATTTAAGCCAACTTAACATTTGACAAGGGCATCTTTCCTAAGTGCTTCAAGAGAGCCAAAGTAGTTCCAATTGCAAAAGAAAGAGGTAACTCAGAGGTTAAAAACTTTCGACCTATATCTTTGTTGCCTGTTTTTTCGAAGATTATTGAAAAATTGATGCACAGTCGTTTGCTCAAATTTTTTGAAAAAAATAACATTCTTTCTAATCATCAATTTGGTTTTCGAAAAAACCACTCAACTGAAATGGCAATACTGGAACTGATTCAAAAAATTGGAGTCGCAAGTGAAAAGAAAAATTATGTAATTGGAGTATGTCTCGATCTGTCAAAAACTTTTGATTGTATTGAATATTCGATTTTATTACACAAACTTCATCACTATGGTATAAGAGACTCCAGTTTGACTTGGTTTCGTAGCTATCTTTTATCAAGATATCAATTCGTTACCTGGAACAATAAAAATTCAAGTAAATTGATCAACAAAATAGGCGTTCCGCAGGGCAGCATTTTGGGACCATTGTTATTCATAGTGTTTGTTAACGATCCACCGATGGCCTCGAAATTTTTTAATTATGTTTGTTTTGCTGACGATACAAATGTGTTCAGCAAAGGAAAAGATATTAACATACTCATCAAATATACAGAAGAAGAAATTAAACATGTTAATTCTTGGTTCTCACTAAATAAACTTACTTTAAATAGTTCTAAAACGCAAATGATAATCTTTGGACCAACTCAATATTTAAACTACAAAGAACCTTATAAAATTAAAATAAATAATATCAATATCTACGAAAATAAAACAGTTAAATTTCTGGGCGTTCATCTAGATCAAAAGTTAACGTTCCGTGATCACGTTAATAGTGTTGCAAACAAACTTGTCAAATCAACTGGTCTGATGAACAAAGTGAAATTCTACCTCACAAAAAGTGTCTGAATTTGTTGTATCACTCACTTTTTATGCCACACGTGATTTATTGCAACATTTTCTGGGCTGGCACGTGTCCTTCAGTCACGGATCCGGTTAAACTTATGATGAAAAGGGCCGTCAGAATCATCACCATGTCAACGATGAGGTCTAATACCAAGGAGTTATTTACGACAACCAATAATCTTAATTTTAATCAATTGAATATTTATCGTACTTTGATTTTTGTGTATAAGCAGCTTAATAATCAATTGCCGAATACGTTTGCTAATTATTTTAAACATGCTAACAGTCATAGGATGTCTAATTATTTGCAATCGAATAAATCAAAAACTAACATTTTACATTCGCATGTAATCTGTAAGGGTCCTAGGACCTGGAATAACATTAATAAGAATGGTTTTCAATATAAGGCAAAATCGGCTACTGATTTTTAAAAAAAAGTTAAATCATTTTTAATAATTAACAATTATTAAAATTATTATCCTTATTAATAATGTAGAGATGTTTATAAAATCACTAAACATTTAATGTCCTAGGACCTGGAATAACATTATTAAGAATGGTTTAATTTAATTTAATTTAATTCTATGATTAATAATGTAATAAATTATATAAGAAATGTATTTACATCATGAAATTTATGTTCTCTATCTATAAACAATTTCTGTTGATATTTTTAATGCGATTATAATTATTTATGAAACATTATTTTTTAGTTAACTACCTTTTGTTTTATTATCTGTTATTAACATAGTAACAACTAACAATATTTCATATTAACCACAAAACTCTGAACATATTTGTCTAGGTGGCTGTGCTAGATGAGCCCATTAGGGGCTCAATCACATTCATCCTGTCTCTTATTTATTATCTGTAATTTTGAGGAGCAAATAAAAATTTCGTTCGTTTTGTTATTGATTCTGATAGTAAATTATTCAGAGCAATCAAGCAAGTAGAATGAAAATTAAACTTTTTTAAAAGTTGACTATCGGCTTTATGAAGATTGTGTATGGTAATGGTTCTTAATATTCTTTCATATCTTAACAATATTTTAAAATGTCATTACTTAATGGTTTTAGTTTATGCTTGTAAAATAGTGTTTATCAATTAACTAATTAATTAATTAATTATTGATACGTGATAAATAGCCACCAAATATTATTAAAAATATTTTCTGTTATTGTTAATCTTGACGTTCACTGCATAGCAAGTTTCGTCTCTATTAACTTGTACGTGTGGAATTTAAAGTCATCTTCTATTTCAAGTGCTTTTTCTGAATGTTCGGGCATTTGAATAAATTTTATATCTTTTTTTTTGTCTTTCATAAGAAAGTGCTTGCCCTCAAACTATCCGAAACTATTTTTAATTTTTTCAGTCATTGCATGTTTTCAACATCACGTTGTACTAAATTGATGTTCGCAATTCTGCATTGAGTTTGTTAGCGTTATATATCAAATCAAAATTGATCGTTCAGAAATCATAAAATTTTATTGAAAAAAATTTACCAAAAAATATAAAAAAACTTAACCTCAAATTTGTAAAGTTATTTAATTGTATATTTTGAGATACCAATAAATAAAATTGTTTACTTTGAAAGTAAAATTTTTCAATTTCTTTTTTCATTCAAAAAATTTTCTGGCAAAAACAATTATTGAGACAGCCAACCTCCAGACGTAACGGAGACTTAGAACTGATAAAAATGTTTCTTTTTACACCACTTGATAACTACAAAAAGAATTTTTTTAAAGGATTGAGGAGGCCGTGAAGTGTTAGATTCATGTACATGTACGTAAACTATTTGTAACTTGCAAGAAGGCTTACTGAATAAATGTTCCATCATATTCTCAACATCATTTGTAACCCGGACAGGTGAAAAAGTCTAGGGCTGTAGAATATTTTTGTCCAGAATTTTTAAATATTAAAAATCTGAAGATGTTTAACTCATTTCATAATTTCACAAAAACAAATGTTCACATGCGCATACATTTTTAAACAGTATTTAATTAATTTCTTCATTAAACTCTAGACCCAAATTTTTAACAAAAATTTGTGTCTAATACCTTGATCGCAACATTGAAGCCATTGAGTATTCGTTGATCGTACATGTGAACCGAGCAATTAAAATAATGAGTCGTTAACGACATCCCAAACTAAAGTCGTTACGTTCCAAGGAGGCATGTTATGCGCCGATTATTTAACCATGCAGCCCTATTTTACTTACTCAAATTAATCCATGTACTTACAAGATGTTTTCTGCAAGTGTGTGCGTGCATTTGCGTGCATGTAAAGATGTACGTGCATGTATGTGTGTGCATACATGAGTATGTGCGTGAATGTGGATGTGTGTGTATGTATGTATGTATGTATGTATGTATGTATGTATGTATGTATGTATGTATGTGCGTGTGTGCATGTGCATGTGTGTGTATGTGAGTGCATATGTTTGTGCGTGCATGTGTATGTACTTGCGTACGTACATCTGCATTTGTAAAAGTATTCGAGATCTCTTTATTTACAGGCTTATTTTTGTATGTGATTTAATGAACGTTAGGCTGTGAATGTTTGCACGTATATTCATGTCTATATGTTCTTGTGCAGGTTTCTATGATTTTTTTCTACGTCAGCAGATGTCCAGATGCTGCGGTGCATGTCGACGCGTTTAATAAGTCTGCTGCTGCAGCTGCTATACATGGTGAAGTCTGTGGATGGCGATGATATCATGGATATCATCATTATTGCTTGCTGGTCAGTCAGTTGTTAATAGGACTACCATTATTATTCTTACTTTATTTCATTCCGTCATTTTTAATACAGCCAAATAATTTCTTCCACTTGTTTGAGAACTCTACATTTTTAAAATCAAAAATTAGAAGACTGACATTTTTCATTTAATTTAAATTTAGTTGTGAGAATTTTTTTTTTGAATTTTTAACACGCTAAGTGTAAAATTCGTAAAAAATGAGGGAAGACGTGAGTAAAGTCGGAAAAATCAAATTGATTTTTATTAGGCAATCATTCGAAAATTGCATTGAGTTTCGTGTTTTGCAAATTGATTGGAATTACGTAGCCTGTTGAAATTTAGCTCATATTAATATTAAATACTATTATATTTAAGATGGTCATCATATTGAGTTTTTCATAACATTAATATTTTTATAAAATGTGTGTCAATTAAATTTGAAATTTTTAAAAAATTCCAACCATATTTAATAGAGCATTGATCGAGAGAGTTGCTTATGATTGATTAGTTGATTGATTGATTAGTTGATTGGTCAGTTGGTCACTGGGTAGATAGATCATTTTTTTATTGGCTGATTGATTAGTCAAATAATAATTAGTTGACAATTTTTGTAATTGATTAGTTGATTGATTTTCCAATGCAGAAACATCCAGTGCTGCAATCCATGAAAGAATTGCAGATTGTTCATTACTTTAATACACATATATAACTTTGTATATATCATATATCACATCTTATTTAGTTTCTACTAACACTGTGCAATTGTGCAATACATATAACACATTGTATCTAAAATATAATTTATTATATATAACATATAACATATCGTATATAACATTTGATACATCAAATATAACATTTAACGTTTAAACGATCTTCATGCTAACTTTTGGCCCGTCTAATTAATTTTGAAATTTTATTACTTGTCGTTAATTCTTCTAAAAAAATTAGAAGAAAAAAAAGTTGATCAAGCTTGGAATCAACAGAGATTCGTATAAGTTTCATATTCACGATGAGTTATTATGATTATTAATAACAGATAAGTGGCCCATTAGATATTCGAGATTTCATCAGAGGTGCAATTTATTTAATTGAAACATTTCGAAATGTACAAACTACACTGCTGTGATTATGATATATAGGTCTCCATGTTAATAGAGGCTGCTTGTGGTGAACATGGAAGTTGATGCAACTCTATTTGGTTATTGTTCATATTATCTTTGGTGTAATCAATGTTTTAATGAGGTTATGTTAATGTGTAGCTGACGACCAAAGTAAAAAATTTTTTATTCAAAATCTTTTCATTTTTTGACCGAAGAGATGTTCAGTCATTTTTATGACGACGGTGTACGAGACTGAATTGCTCAGAAAAAAGATGGACAAAAAAATGTGCGTGAGAAAAAAATGTCTGCCAACAACAATCGAAGGAGGCAGGCAGGCAGGCAGGCAGGCAGGCAGGCAGGCAGGCAGGCAGGCAGGCAGGCAGGCAGGCAGGCAGGCAGGCAGGCAGGCAGGCAGGCAGGCAGGCAGGCAGGCAGGCAGGCAGGCAGGCAGGCAGGCAGGCAGGCAGGCAGGCAGGCAGGCAGGCAGGCAGGCAGGCAGGCAGGCAGGGTTAGGCAGGCAGGCAGCACTCGAACATGAGTCATTAACACGTACACCACACAATGTCACATCGCCGAAGAATAGAAATTCAAGATGGATGACTTCGGCAAATGACGTCACAGCATCACGTGGTCCCCGCATAGATATTTATGACTCATTTAGGGGGAAGGAAACAAGTGCTGACCAGTTGGAGCATGCACATTGCTCGCTGAAGTGCTACTGCTAGGAAGTGGTGATTATTATAGTGGTGATGATGATGATTTGAGAGGATGAGGATGATGATGATGATGTGAGAGGATGATGATTATTACTATGCTGATAATGATGATGACGTCAGACGATGGTGATTGTTATGGTGATGATGATGATGTGAGATGATGATGTAAATTAATGATGATGATTTTCATTATGACGATGATGATGGCAATGTTACGAGAAGATGATGATTATTTTGGTGAGACCACAAGCATCGGGGAATATAGATAAATCTATCTGACTGTAGGAACAGTTTTTCGTTTCTTCACTAAGCAGGTTATTGCACTTGTGATGGCATTTTGATTTTGTTATCTTCAGACATCCAACTGAAAATATTGTCTATGTCAATCACCTTTTCTTTTTCCCGCCGATAAGTTTGAAGGTTTTTACTTTATATAAAAAATGGGTTGTGGGTTATTGTTTGCCAAAAAGTTGAATTATTCCACTATAATGATGGTGATGATGATGTCAGAGGTTGAGGATTATAAGGGTGATGGTGATGTTGTGAGAGGATGATGATGATGATGATGACGACGACGATGATCTGATGATGATAGCTCGAAAAATTGATAATTAATTTTGGTAGTGTCGGTGATGGAGGAATTGTTTTTAATGACTGTGAGAATGCAATAGAATAACGTTTGAAATAATGATGATGAGGACGATGATGATGTGATAGAATGGTGATAATAACAAAAGAATTGAATGATACATATGATACATGTGTGGATAGGATTAAATGGTACAAATGATACATGTAATTGTAAGATTAAGTGATATAGATGATACACGATGATATGACAATGACGATAGTGAGATAGAATGAGAACAATGGTAGGAGAGTTTTTTTTATACAGCTACAGACATCACTGTTATAATCGTCTCCACTTTTAACTTTTCGCTATAAACACGATGGAAACTGCTGAGGTGACAGTTCATAGCAACAAACAACCAACTAACCAACCGGATGACAAAATGACATGACGTCATCATACAGACATCAACTGGAGAACAACCGCCTGACGGAAAACCACACTACAAACACTCAGACACACATACAACCGCGTAGGTGTTAAATTGAATGATACATAATATGATACATGTAGATAGGATTCAATTATATGATACATGTAACTGTAAAATTAAGTGATACAGATGATACATAAAAATGGGATTGAATGATACAAATGATACATTTAGATATAGGATTAGATAATACAGATAGTATATGTAGGGATAAGATTGAATAAAACATATGATACATATAGATGAGATTAAAATTAAATGACACACATGATACATGTAATTGTAAGACTGAATGACACAGATGATACTTGAAGATATTTGGTTGGAAAATACATGAAAATTTAGAATTGAACGGTACAGATGATACAGGAAGATGCAAGATTGAATGGTACATGTGGATTTAAGATTGAATGATATAAGAGATACATGATACAGATGAATGAGTGCAATTCATCATCTGAGAATTCCATCAATCAAGACAACCATTCCCAACTCACTTATACTCCTGTCAGAATTTCATCAATCAAAGCAAAATAAACAAAAATTGTAACAGCATCCTAATTTTTCTCCTATGTTACAAACGATGTTACAATCCTTTTTTTTGTATTCAATAATTCAATATTTGTATAATTCAACCCTACATCTTCATGTATCATCTGTATCAAATGGTTTAAAGGGTTTGCAATCATTATTTTCAATTTATCTCTACAATATGAATCTCGTTAACCCACTATTATCATGTCTACCACATTTGTCTATACTTTTTTGAAATATCGATTATTGACAATGTACAAGCAATAGAGAAGGTATATACTTGTGTGTGTGTGTGTGTGTGTGTGTGTGTGTGTGTGTGTGTGTGTGTGTGTGTATATGTTGGTAATAGACCATAATTTTTACAATATTCTGTCAATTCTACCGAATGTTTGGCGTTAATATGTTTGTAGTTCGTTTTTTCGATTTTTTTCACTAAAGTTTTTTGGTGAACGTTTAGTTTATTAAAATTCAAAATAAACTTATTTTTCGAATTCATGCTGCAAATAAGGCCATATTTCGATTCCGAATGAATCATCATCAGTGCTCCTTGCTGTATATATATAGGGAAATATTGACTTTGTCAAGATGAACATTGACGTTGTAAAAATTAACTTTGGTGTTGTAAAATTGAACTTTGATGCGAATTAGGTGTCAGGTTTCTTAATTGGCTGGTCATCTTCTTTGGTCTCCTTTCCTTCATCGATAGCATCATATTCTTCTTTGTCACTATTTACGATGCTATTTTTTATTACTTCTTTGTTTTCGTTGTTGGTTAAGTGCCGGGTTGGAAGTGAGGTTGTCATTTTTTGTTGTATATTTATTTTTTGTTTATTGATGTCAATTAGGACTGCTTCTGCAATTTTAAGATGCGTGTAGTTGCTGTTCTGGTCTATTACTTTGGTGTTGCTTTCGAGGATTTCACGGCTAATTGTGATTGAGTGTGTTGAGACCAAATGAGATTTGATAGCATCACTCTGTTTATGCATCGTAAGCCTTCTAGTCAGTGAGGTAGTAGTAATCCCGATATATGAGTCATGTTGACGTGCACAGCCGTCAAAGGGGCAATTAAAACTGACCAACCTGATAACCATAGGAAATAACAATATTATAAAAGATAGATTCATCAATCTTAGCCACCACATCCTTACAGACAAACAAAAAGTGTTCTTAAACCTGGGATTGAATTGCCATTATCTGAAAAAACCTAACAAAATTGAGAAAATCATTGAGATTGAAAAGCTAATGATGTCTATAAGCGACGCTGAACGTCAAAGTAAATTAAGCGTCAACCCCTCTGTTGCCATTGAGCTTCAAGCTGAAGCCAAGAAAACACGAGGTAGTTTTCAAAGTAAGCTACTCACTGAGGAGATGAAGGATGCGGCGAAGCAACTTAGGGAGAATAAAGATATCGTAATAAGACGCGCAGATAAATCTGCACAATATGTCATTATCGACCGAGACGATTACCATGAAAAACTCAATGATGTTCTCAATGATACAAACAAGTTCCAAGTAATCAAAAAAGATCCCACTCCTCAACTAAAAACTAAACTAAACACAATAATTAAGAAGATAAGAAAGCACATCACCGATGACAAACTTCCATCACTTATAGGCGAGTAATCTCCTGGCTACTTATAAGGAAATATAAAAACGTATAAAAAGAATCATCCCATCCGACCAATTATTAGCCAAATTACAACTGTCACCTACCCTGTTGCAAAATTCTTGAACAAAATTTTAACCCCATATATTCCAAACAATTACACACTACAATCTTCCCGTGAGTTTATTAATTTCCTCAGAATTAATAAACCATCCAAATTTATTGCCTCTCTGGATGTTGAATCATTATTCACAAATGTACCAATTCATGATACAATCGACATAATTATCAACACCGTTTACCACTCAGATATGGTTCCATTGAGCATACCGAAAGCACAACTGAAGTCCCTTCTTCAAATTTGCACTACTGAAGCACCATTCCACAGCCCCACAGGCAAACTTTACAAGCAAATCGATGGTGTCGCTATGGGTTTCCCCCTTGGCGTCCTATTTGCCAGTTTTTACCTAGGACAGCTGGAGAATGAAACATTCAAAAACAATGCAAATTTAAAACCAAATATCTACGCCAGATACATTGATGATATCTTTGTCTCCTATAACGATCCTGAACAAATCACCCAACTTCTTGATAGCTTAAACAAATCAAAACTTAGATTTACCATTGAAAGTGAAAAGGAACAACGTTTACCTTTCCTCGATGTATTTGTCACCCGTGGCGAAGAACGATTCAAAACTGCGGTCTATGTCAAAGAAACGAATACAGAAATTTGTTTGAATGGACAAAGTGAGTGCACTGAACAATTTAAAGACAGCACAATAAAACAAAAAATGACAACCTCACTTCCAACCCGGCGCTTAACCAACAACGAAAACAAAGAAGTAATAAAAACTAGCATCGTAAATAGTGACAAAGAAGAATATGATGCTAGATGTAAAAAATGTGGTTTGCTTCCTCACTAAGCAGACAGGTTAATAAACTTGAGATGGCATTTCGATTTCGTCACTGCGAACTTTATCCGACTGAAAATATTGTCTTTGGTTTTTTCTCTGTCTCAGCGACAAGTTTGAAGGTTTTCACTCTGCCTAAAAATCGGGTTATGGGTTATTGTTGCCAAAAATGAATTTAAATTATTCTATTATAATGACTCTTGATAGTTCATGGAGTTTTACGGCACATATGAAATTAATTTTTTTTTTGTTAAATTTCCACAAAATTGTAATTTAAACAATATAAAAATAAATATTATAGAGATTGAATAGCCTGATGAAATGTTACTTTAACATTGAGGAGTTGCTATGATTAGTACCAGGCAGGACAGCCCACATTGAATAGTTTGGTTGCCTAGGCACTAGACAGGACAGCCACCACACATTGAACAGTTCGGTTGCATGGACACTAGACAGGACAACCCACATTGAATAGTTCGGTTGCGTAGACACTAGACATGACAGCGACACACGGGGACTGTAACAGAAGGCATCAGCGATACGATCTGCATGATAAATTGCATGTTGTTTGCCGAGTCACTGAGATCGATTGATATGATTGATTGGTCGCCTGTTTGTATGATTGATTGACGGCATGATTGCTTTATTGACTTATTGTTTTACGCTACTAGGCATGATGTATTTATTTACGTTCTCAATAATGGTTTACACGATTGAGTGATTAATTAACTGAACAATATATTATACTCCTGGTTCGACGACTGATAGTTTGAGTTTGTGGAAAATTTAAGAAATTAAATTATCAATAATTTAATAAACCTTTATAGAATGGCAAGCTTTGTAGATAAATGAAAAATATTAAAACAGGAGTGAGTAAAATGAAATGATTTAACA